CTGGCCAGAGTAAATGTGTGCAAAATACGCCAAGAAAGTACAGACTTACTGGGACTATCAAAGACACAGCCGCCATTACGCAATCGCAATATCACATGATATTTGGAGAGGAAGATTTTGGCATTGACTCAAAATGTAAACATTTCACAGATTTGGTTCTTCAGGACCATAATAGAATCGTGATTTTCGCTAGGTTTTAGCGAAAGTGAGGACATATTGTAAGATTTTCAAATAATTGTTCAATTTGCTCGAATAACCGTTCCCTCAGTGTTAACTGCCCGATATTTTTTTATCCATTAACCGCTTCAATACAGTAGCTATTTTCAAATAATTTGGCAAAAATCTACAGTTAAGAAGCCCACTTTGTTATCATTTTAAGAGATGCACTTCCCTGATCCTAAGTGTGGTAGTATATTTTGAGAGGAAACTAGTCTTTGATCAGGCTAATGCACTGTGATCAAACACAATTGTGAACACGAGATCAACATGCAAAATTTGGTTTTTGTAGAGAAATGCTTTTTCATTATTAGTTCTTTTATAATTTCGTCACATAAAAGATATCCAAGCTGATTTCACTCTATCCTAGAGTGCAGGAGAAGAAAGAAGAAGAAAGAGCTTTCGCTTCACAAAAACTATTTCATAACAGACCTACCTAGCCGAACTGTGATTGAATATTGTCGAAGTGACCACCAATGGAGATTACTTATCAGTCTGTGTGGTTTACTAGAGAAAGGATGTCGTGAATCATGCAAAATCATATCGTCTTTGCCCACTTTTGTTTATTTGATAATTATACTTTTAACTGCACACTAATTCTAAAACTTTCTTGAATAAATTTATGGAGTAGCTTCTCTTGGTAAATCATGGATCCTTCCGCTCAGCTTTTTCCTCTGTTTACTTGAACTGTATACAGAAAATTATCGAATGAATGTTTTGAATAGCTCAACTCTGAATCTCAATATATCGACATTTGCAGTTTCTCAGTGAATAAAAGGAGAAAGAAAAAGTTAGCGTTTCAAGGAATGCCATAATGCGCTGCAACTCATGCTTAACTGATATGATAATGTTACAAATGTGGCGGCGAAACAACGACGAAATAAGTCATTCCGATCCATTTTGTTTTGCGATAGATTGATTATAATACGAAAAATATGGGTTTCGTCTTCATGGGTCTCGTTAAGTACCCTGTCCTGTCCTGGATATCCTGTGTGAAAAGCGAAAGTGACAAGTTAGATTCGGAGGCGAGACGTGGTTACAACTTAAGCCTTTCTTCTTTTTTCCTCTCTTTGTTTGTCTATCAGTGCGAAGTCGGCTTGGTCGACAGAAGGACATAAAAGGTTAGATCGCAAAATAGATCTGAAACGTCTTCTCTGTTTTCGCTGAAAGAGCAAAAGGGAGGAATGAGGGAAAATGAGAAAGCGGGTGTAACGAATACCATAATATGCCCAAATCTAGGCTTGGTACTAAAACAAGGTGAGCCACGCTTATTGTGGTTACGCCGTCTTAGCGTTTATTTGTGAAGAGAGAATCCTCGAAATTCAGAGGAGAGTTTAAAATAAGCACTCAATTCGAATTCCTTTAAGAGAGTCCAACTCTGTTTATTTCGATTTTTTCATCGCCATGAAATATCTGGAAGGTGCATCCAGAGGTAGATCTTATGTTTGCACCTGCAAAAAGCAGTGGACGGCGTAAGACAGTAGGGGGTTGTAAAAATGGTTAATCAAAGAATCTTCTGCGTACCGGTGGCGATTTCTGCAGCCGAGCAAGTGGCGACTTGACATTCATTATTTCATACCGGTTTCAAAACGAGCAACTCGACTGAGGGTCATGGACATCCTCTTTTGGTGTTCCGACCTCGCTGACTATCCGTGCTTTTGTCTCCACTTAGTTGGGCTAAAAAGTCCGAGTCTCCGTAATATCCGCAGCGTGAAGCTTAAAAATACAGGTTTTCACGACAGAATAATTGGTTACTCGTTCCCCTTCAAGCTGAAGGTCAACATCCTTTGCAGCTGTGGATAGAGAGTTGCAGATAATCGGTGTGGATAATAGATTAAACTATTTTAAATAGTTCAAGTTATCATTTGCGCAACAAAGACTCGATTTTTCAAACACTTTAACTTACGGCAAAAATACGTTACTTCAGACCTGCGCTATGGAACAGACTACACAACCAGACAAATAATAATTTAACCTTCAGTCCTCTAAAAACACCATAAGAAAATTAGATATAAGTAGTATTTTAGATCGTAACAGTAGGTGTTGCTACTTCTATGAATAATGATTTTAAATTTTGGATTCAGATTATAGATTGTAGATTTAAGATTGTAAATGTGAGATTAGAATAACTATTGTGCAGTTGATATAAGGCTCTTAATCAATTTTTTCAATGTTTAATTGTCGGCTAAATTCTATAGTGTCCCCAAATAGCTCATACCTAAATACATTTGACACTGAAATACATGTTTGTTAACATTTAAAAACTTCTGTCTAAATTTGTATTTGTTGAGAAAATGAACGGAAGCAGATACATTGAGCACCATAAAGTGACTCGTGCTCAGGATGCAAACAAGGCTGAGTGAAAAACAAGGTAAGCCATGTTTGTTGTGGTCGCACGGTCTTGGCGCATGTTTATAATTAGTGGTAACTTTTAAATACAGCTAGGAGAGCGTTCAACACGCACTCAAATCGACTCTCTTTCTAAAAGTTCATTCATTTTGCAGTGAAAAAATCAAGGAGGTGGTTAGAGAATATTTGATGGCAGAGAGTAAAGATGAACGGAAAGCCCGTCAAGCGAGAGAGACATTAACAAGGGAACAATGCAAATGATAACTGCAGATTGTGTTGCTGTGATTTTTCCATAAGATAAAACGGAGTCTCCCGATGGGTTTAGAAACCACTTTGATTGGTTCGTCGCGCTTCGCTGATTCAAAATATTTCAAGCTTTTAGTGGCTTTTGCCATCTTCTGTTTCTTCGCTAGTATGTAGTCCCCAACTTAAGACGGCAGGAACCGCGTGAGGAAGAATTCGATGGCAAAGAAATCTCTTAGTTTCCGGAAAGCGCTTCCTTATTCCTCAAGAGACAATGACGCCAGTTTTTCGGTGTCAATCAATGACTTTAGAAGTGTCCCTTCTTGCCGCAGGTGACACTACCCTGTCATTCGATTACTTATTAACCGGGAGGTGATCAGAAACCTTCCTTGAATTCACTTCCTTCCTCGCTAGAACTAAGATGATAAAAACAGTAATACTATTGCCGAAGCCCTTGGAAAGAATGGCTCAAACATTTTTCCGTTTACCGCAATGCTTGATTAAACAAATGCTTCATGACCTGCTCTACATCTTTCTTTGACAAACTCTTAAACCCCTCTCGACACATATTCGGTGACAAAAAAAAATTTTTGTGTGGTTTTTTTTTCCACCGCCCACATTTCCATCTCGTTACAGCCGTAGTCAACATACGCTAATTTCAAGGAAAGCATTCTGAGGGGAAAACACTTTAATGGGGATTTTTCATCATGTGAACAGACAACCAGCCACCGTCTCAAACCTCGTCGCTTTAGCAAACAAGAAAAGCCACCAGCTACGCGAGATGGCCTGCTTCTGTTGTTTCATTAGATGTGAAGTATTTATGCTCCCCGTTGCCCATGCATAGTAAATAGGTTGTATCGCCTGCACAATATGCATCACATCTCTTACATTTAAATTCGTTTCAAAGGTTGTTGGTTCACCATAAAGGGCTTTGTTTTCGTAATTTGCTTATGACGACTGGTTCCTATAGCTTAAGCTTTCCAGCTGAGAGTACTAGGCTCCTTTAGTAAGAAGTTGGCAATTTTCCGATCCGTGGGTTTGTCTATGTACACTGGTGTCTCCTTAAAAGAGATTGGTCAACTTGTTATCACAAATTTCTAGCCTTAAAACCGATAAAGTGGATGTTTTGTGGCTATTTCAAGGTTGTGGTGTTATTATGGTAACTAAATGTCATAAAAACTATCACGATTTGTTGAGGCGGAAATAATCTGGCATTTTTACATTGTATTGCAGAAACAGAAAGAAAAGTTCGATCATGTCGAAAGCTCAGAGCCATCAAGGATGGAAAATTAGAGAAACCTGTGCGTGCTCCTTGAGGTGTTCAACAGTTCATCTTTAGTCAGTTGCACTTTTTTTCTTATATAAAAATTCCGTTTTGTAAACTCACAGCTTCAAAAACAAGCTTTGCAAACAATCTTCTTCTTTTTTTTATACTCTCTTTTTAATATTTGCTTTTGAATAGGTAAACTATTTTTAAAATTTTCACAAAACTCCCTAACTCTTTACTCTAGACTTCGCCTCCTTTATCACTTTGCTCAATCAATTCTATGGCTGTTAAAAGCAAAAAGAAGGAATGTTTCTGACAAGTGATGATAGCAGTAACCCTTGTTAAGGAGATGATCATAAACTATATATTATGATATCACATTCATGCTCTTGTCAAAGTTAACAGAGCGTTAATAGCAAAGAATGGTATGAGCTGCCTGAACTTTTAAATTTCGAAGTATTTTCTTACTTAGAATTATAGTACTAGCCATTATCAACATTCTTGGATCCAAAAAAAATCTGAATTAAATAGAAATATCACTCCTGGTCTCTTCATCTCTGTAATTGATTCGTTAGGGGGTGGGGTAGGGAGGTGTGACTTATGTGACAACACATACACAACAGATGAGTTGAGAGTATTTGAGTCCATTTAAGGATATTGAACATGTCTGATATTATTGTTCTTGGGATCAACTTTTATCAATAACAGTGAAAGTTATTTACTCAAACAAAATTGAAATTAACCAGACGTTAGTATAATGTTCAATGCACAGCTTTATTGCTACTTTTACTTTTAAAGAGGCTGATAAACACTCATTTATCAAAGAACCAATTTTGACAATCAATCCATAAATCTAAACCTTTTTCTTCGATTATTGAACAAATACTATCACTACACCAATGCATAAGCAGCTAAGACTCTTGGTCATTACGCTTTTCGTCTTTTGTCCCTATTTCTACACCCACTTGTACAAAGCGCTGTTTATGTTGTACTTCTGATTGTAGTAGTTTACTACTGCCAGATAAGTGTGACCTTTGTATTCAAATGATGTCATATCACGAGCTCCATGGGTGGAAATCTCTTGATACTTGACGAACTGTGATCCAGAGGCCTGGTACACAGCTGACTGAATGTTTTTTTTCTGGCTGCCGCTTTGGAAATTGGCCACACCCAGGTAGGTATGACCGCTGATCACGAAAGGATGCCAAGCGAGGGCTCCACGAGTAAGAATGGATTGGAAAAGAACGAACTTGGTACCATCCCATTTATAAACAAACGAGTCAGTGTTGTAGGAACTTCCAGAGTAGTAGCAGGCAAAAGCGAGGAATGTGTGACCATTGATATTAACAGACTTAACGTCATATGCACCATAAGTTTGAAGAGACTGTAGTTTGACAAAGTGTCCTCCTGACCACTTAAAGACAGTGGACTGAACAGAATACTTCTGTTGAGAGTTGTAATAGTTGGCGAAAGCGATGAAAGTGACATTGTTTATTCCAAATGCCGTACATCCCATGGCACCTTCAGTTGCTATCTCTTGGAACTTGTTGAACTTAAAGCCATTCCATTTGTAGATGACTGACTTTGTTGAGTAGGTTCTTTCGTCTCGACGATTTGCCACTGTGAGATATTTTTCTCTGTTTGATGTGAAGAACTTGAAGTGTGCAGCTCCTTTTGTTGGTAATTTCTGAAATACCATAAACCGCTGTCCATTCCACTGGAAGACTACAGAGTCAAGTTGGTACGTACCATCCCAATAATTAGCCACAGCAAGGAAATGTTTATCAGCGATAGAAAAGTACTCAACGCCATGTGCACCTCTAGTTTGTAGGGTCTGGTACAATGTGAACTTTTCAGTCGGTTCATCCATCTTGTAAACCACGGAGCCTGTCTTGTGTTTCTGAATATCTCCTTGATTGTTCCCAAAGGTGAGGAACAGACTTCCATTAATGGTAAAGTGTTGGACGGCTGCAGCTCCTCTGGTTGGCAAGTCTTGAACTTTCTCGAAGAAGTAGAAACCAGTCGAACATTCTTTCATAAAAACAAAACAAATGGTTAACAGAGTTTACCTCTCATTCATTGTTTCTGGTTATTCGCCTTTTAAAGTGGCTCAGAATGGTTTCGTTCTTTTTAATCACCATATTGTAACGAACAGAAGCCTTAACAGTTTCCTCATTTTCGGGAATTTCCATAAGCCATGCAAAACTGTTATTCAACAATTATTTTTCACAAACCTAATGTTACCCAGTCAGCGTATTAGAACACATTTTTTTTTCAAAGTTATATAGAGAATGGAACGACTTGACCCAGCCGGTTTTTTTTTCTTTTTTGCTTCACTTAGGGGGGTTTAAATCGCGTATAAAGATTTTTTTAAAGCAGAAAGATAAATATTGATAGACCGTGCTGATTGCAATTCAATGACAAAATATGAAGTTCGCCGAACTCGTCTTTTGGCTGCAGACACACTAAGCTCAAAGGGTACCAGTGTTTCTAAAATTCCGTATTCTCGTTAGTTAGTGTCATAAAAATGAATATATGATTGTTAAAAGATCCATAACTAATTAGTTATTTTTTGACGCCATTTTCAAGAGATCACATGACTAACTGTGGTAAAAAAATCCATCAAAAAAGATGCGTTGAGCCTCTTTAAATTGGCTAAAACTGTCTCATTCAACTCATTGCATTGCAAGGCGTTGTTTCTCAGGTTTTGTTCAAGCTGATGTTGGCTTCAGAAAAATCCATATATCGGACTTATTTTACCTCTTCCTCTTTCTCCTCCGTCGCCTGATTGTATGCACAATATTGTTAACATTTTTTCGGGAAATGTTGGGGGGCTGAGCATCTCGGATCAGTGCGAAATCTGTGTTTAATAAGTTCATTTCTGCAAATATAGGGAATGGCCGATGTTTATAACATAACTAACGCACAACAGGCGCTCTGATTGGTCAAAAATCTATCGTCATTGTGCCGTTAAAGTATATAAAACTGAAGCATCAAGTAGGATTTTCACTCGGAAATTTGTTGAAAATCTCATTTACACTGGAACGAAAACTTCTTATAGAGTAAAAATGTCTACTCGAGACTTATGGCAACTCCTTTTCCTGTCAGCGATTTCAGCTTTCATTTGATTAATTGTTCTTACGTTTTGGAAGGCATTTTTAGCACTTTATGTAAATAATAAGAATTCCCTAAAAGCTTCAATTAAAGCATAGGCAATGCAAAAATAATTTGATTAACCAAAAAATTAGCTAGTTTCTGACGTATACGTCTTTGATTTTACTGCAATTGTCATGGTGCGATTTTATAAAAGAAATCAAAACTAAGTCTTCTAAATAATAATAAGTTTCTTCAGCATAATTTCTTCAACTGGCCTTTACTTCGCTAAAAAGCTCTTGAAATATTAGAACTGTTTCATAGCCTTGCAACCTTCAGAAACTTTTCGAACAGATTATCACATCACTATCCATGTGGTAGAGCAAATTTGGCGTTTTATTTGTCCACATTGGAGTATTCTTCAATACAACATAGTTTGTGCCTTGATCTGGGGATATTTTACTGTACACCTAAAAAACATTTATCATTAAAACAAAACAAATAGAAAACTTATTCCAACCAACTATGCCTTCAACTTGCATTGAAATTGAAAGGGGCGTTTTTCTGTGCACTTAAACGGCAATCGTCAAAGAAATGAATAGTTTAAGACTGTATGTGGCTATGTGGATAGTATCACAATCTTTATAGTATTGAAAAGAAGTGGAGAGTGTATAATGATGCTAGAAGGAAGTGTTGTACAAGATTTGTCTCTCATACAAAGCAGAAAAACCTGCCGCATCTCACATCTATGAATATTCTGTTACACAAGAGAGAGATGATTCAAGAATATAGTGACTAATTGACACTCAACCGATGATAAAATGGTGACAAATAATCATACCACCATATCAATGATAATAATAATGATAACAATAGTGAAGGTATTGATATTTTTTGGGGGTTGGCTGAAGAACCACACTGTTCCTCTATCGGTCTATCCTCTAGGTCTAATAATGATTACACTATGCTTCTTTTCATTTTGCTTGTAAAATTATAATTTTTTTCTTATTCCATTGCAATTCTATTTATGTAAGACTTTCGTTCATACAACAAGGCATTCTGCCCATTTGCCATTCCACCAATCCATCATTCTACCGTTCTAACATTACTTTGAATAGGGTCATCCTGTTAAACTCAAGGTATGGTATTTCAGACCTTGCTTGCTTCGCGAATTTAGCGGCTCATTGGTGCACTAGTCGCTGATAAAAATGGTAAAATGCTCTCTTTTTGAACAACTTAGTTTTTTTCTCGAAAGTTCCCATGATGTGCAGATCAAACCTATTCTGCAAGCAAAAGCCTTGTTTTTAATGACATGACCGTGAGGCCACTATAAAATTATTTTGAGATGTTTATCATCTTTTGTAGCGTAACGGAAAAAAGTGAAAAAAAAAGGTATCTTCGGATCTACTGGGCATAATTCGCTGATTCACACAGTAAAATACTCCCCCTTCAAAGAAAAAGGTTTTCCTCTAGGTTTTCATGATGCGCCAATTGTTGTGAGATGTTTACCGTCTCCTATAGTACTCCGGAACAAAGAACAAGTAGCACAGTGAACATCGGGTAAAAATCGGATCAAGATCGGAATACTTTTGTTACTATCACTCACCCACTCACTCATTTTGACGATATATGTGGCCTCGCCTCCTATATGGGACAGTAACGACAAAAACAAGTGAAAATTTATTCCTACCCACTTTACAACACCCTCTTTTCCCGGAGGATGACGAGGAGCTCTGCAAAGAATCATTTAAATTTCGTTATCATTATTGTTTCATGCTTGTGCACGTCAAAGAATATCACAAAATAACTGCAAAAATAGTAATAAAAGAGAAAATAGCAAATTGCTTGTTATATTATATGTTACTACTATAAGTACACGAGAATGGTTACACTATCAAGAGATGATTCTTTATCCATTATATCTTTCCATATCAGGTCATCACATGTTCCCGGCATTCCTTTCTGTCCCTTTTGTCCTTGTGATCCTTTCTCGCCCTCGATGAAAAAGCAAGCTTATAAAAAAGGTTGTATGGGATGGACTTGGAGAAGAGAACTTGTTTCGCTATTTGTCATTAAAGAAAATTGAGAAATAAATGTTTTTCTTTTGAGCTGTGTCGGACGAAAGAATTTTCCATGTACACTTCATGAAAACTTGCTTCAGAAAGCAGCCTTTAACCCCACCCCCCCCCCATCTCTTTTGAATAATGACTTATCCCTACCAGGTCCTACCAGGGGTTCCCAGTTCTAATTCTATAACTGAATCTTCTTGGCTGGGAAATCTACAGTAATTACGATTTAAACATTCCAACTAAATATTTGGTAACAGTTGAAGTGTCAATCAGATTAAAGCCAAAAAAAATTAGCCAGAAAATCACCTAATTTTTGCATTGAAAAAACCAGGAAAGATTTATTACTCGACGTTTCGGGGTCATCGTGACTCCATTATCAAGAGACTAGTTTAAAAACATGCAAATAAGGAAAGGTACAAGAATAGCATAAAGCATGTACCTTTCCTTATTTGCATGTTTTTAAACTAGTCTCTTGATAATGGAGTCACGATGACCCCGAAACGTCGAGTAATAAATCTTTCCTGGTTTTTTCTATGCCTTTGCTTTAGCAAATCCCTGCTGATCAATTTTTGCATTTGACAATATAAAGATTATTACATCTTAAAATTAAATATGCTAAATACAAATTTTATTAACCTTGGTGCTAGCATTTTCATTTACGCCATGCATGCCTGGTTCACCTTTCTCTCCCTGGTTGATTTGAAATGAATGCAAATAATCTTCCGGTAACCATGACAACAGTTTGATTCATGTACTAATGTGTACACGACTAACAAGGAGAGGTATGTCATATACAGTTCAACACATTTGTATTCTCAAGTCCGTTTCAAAGTCATTTTTTTATAACAATGGTTACATTGTCGTTTTAAAAATACATAACCTTTGCTCCAACTGTCCCATCGCGTCCATCTCGTCCTATGTTGAAAATATTGCCGACCAGTACAAAATGTGAAACACAGATAAACGAAAACAGCAACAAAAGTCACGTCTTAAACAAATACATCTTCTATAATACTTCTTTTGTTTCAACTTTGTAAATGGTTGCACCTGTTACACCTTCGTTTCCCAAGAAATGTATTAATCATCAGTAATTTTCAGTCACTGAAACTCGTTGAAATATTAACTTGACACAGGGCAACTTTTTAGTTTCTAACATTTACCGTTATCATCACGTTACTAGCTTTTCGTTTTTTCCTTGTTAAATCCCCATGAAACATCAATCAGCTCGACGATTTTGGTAATGTCACGACAAAATTTACCTGATCCTCCCCGAAGGCTCTGTAATATTCTTATGATTCCCCACCCCTACCCCCCATTGGCAGCTGCTCGACAGTCATTTTTCTATACTCCCCCCTAGACAATCTGTTGGCGACGACTGATCCCCTATCTTTACCCCCTTAAAACCGTGTAATGCCCCTCCAAGTCCTCCGCCATCTCGCCCCCCCCCCCAGGAAATTACGAATAACTCGTCCTTACCACTCTTGTTTATGAAGGAATCACGCTGAAAATATTTACCATCTAAATCAAAAATTCACTTTAAATAAATAACTACATCACCGTTTACTCCATCGCGTCCGTCTCTTCCTGCATAAAAAGCAAATCAATTTTCTTATATCACGTAGGTAAATAAACAGTTTATTTTTATGGTGAAAATTTATTTATTTTTTAAGTCAATTAATGCATGAATGAACCCTAAAGTAACCTTCGCACACTCACCGTTTTGTCCATCTTTTCCTTCTTTTCCTGTCCAGAAATTAACAAAAACTAAACTTCAGTGAAGAAACTCGAACGTCTCTCTTTCTCGCCCATATGAGCAGATGTAAATAAATATATGCTCGTAACAACTACTGACCGATTTTTATTATCATTCTTAGGTAATTATAAAAGTACTGAACTGGGATTTCTGTTAGAAGTTTTACCCACCATCTTTACAGCATCGAGCTAGCAAAGCACAGCAGTTTGATTTTGTCGTTGTTCCATGACTCTGTTGAAATTTTTTTTAATAAAAAATGAAAAGTGTACCCATGTGTTATGAATCAAGGGGTTGTTTGGGAAGTTACACGCTCGAACAAAGCACAAAACTTCTCACTCTCACTCTAATTCCGTTTCGACTACAATTACTTTAGGCCTAGTTATCAATTTGCTTACCTGATTAGAAGAATTGTTCGGTGATTTTGCGAAGGAACTCAATAAAAAGGCAAGAGCCAACACAAAGAATAAGCGAAACATTTTCACTCTAAGCGCCCTCCGATATGAAATGGCAGACGAATCAGTCAGCATAAAGTGAACAACTTTCCGTCTCTGTTTATTTTGCCCCACAACAGGAAAATTCAGGATGTCCAAGGGCTTGTGTTATGAATAGTGTTTACAATGCACAATGAGAATTTGTAGTTTATGGATTATGATATGCTAACTGACCGACTACGATGAACTTCTTATATCTCCTTAAAACATCGTTATCTTGTACAGTGATCTGGTATGGAGAATTTAGACCCTTATCAGTGAAGATTAGTTGTTTGGTCTTTATGTAAATTCTCACTAATTACTATAGTAAAAAAAATAAATGTTTTGATCTGTGGAAGAAAAGGTGTCCATAGCAAGAATTCATTTTGCTTTACATCATTTAAAAAACAATTTTCAAAAATGTGATGGTTGATAAGAATTATGTGAGTTGAAAGAAAGTTCTCGTTTGCTTTTACTGAGTAGGAAACACGCAAATTCATTCAATATAAAATACGGTTGAATGAAAATAGAATAAAATGAAGATAGCAAATTGCCGTGGATTTAGAAAATAAATGTGCACCTTTCTGTTAAAACCATTCTCGTGTAGCTTAATGTGATTGTAACGTCGCCTTTTAATGTAAGCAAGTTTGAAAAAACCGGTTGACTACAACCGTAGATCAGAACACTGTACCGCAATTATTAAAAAGCGACTGACGAGACTTAGTTTACCTAATTATCATTTTAACTAGCAAATATCATCAGTCGCATAATTCCAAAGTTTCCTTTAAATAAAACAATTTTCCTAATAGAGCCTCACTTGAATCTTTCAGTTCTAGAATCAAGCAGTATTTATGAGACAAACCTTTTTCTTTCAAAGAGTTTTTCTTTATTTCTTGCCTTCTTAGCCTGGTTTATTAAAAAGATGACGTGTAATTTATTATGAGGTAATCTTGTTGATATTGAATGCTATATGCGTATTTTCCTGTGTTTATCCCGTGTAGCACTATGCTGACGTGTCCAGATTATCAGAAATAGAAATTGCTTAAAGTGATATTTGGAGAGGGAGATGTTGGCGTTGAACCAAAATGTAAACATTTCACAGATTTAATTCTTCAGAACCATAATAGAATCGATATTTTCGCGAGGTTCTAGCGAAACGAGGACATATCGCAAGATTTTCAAATAATTGCCTACTTACCTCGTATAAACATCCCTTGTTAACTGCCCAATATTTTTTTACCCATTAACCTCTTCGACACTGTAGCTATTTTAAGATAAGTTGGAAAAAATCCACAGTTAAGAAACCTATTTTGTTATCATTTTCAGAGATGCGCTTCCCTGATCTTAAGTGAGGTAATCTATTTTGAGAGTAAACTATTCTGTGATCAGGCTGATGCATTGTAATCAAACACAATTTTTGCAGGGAAAATACCTTTTTTTATTATTTGTTCTTTAATAATTTCGCTACAGAAAAGATATTCTAGCTGATTTCACTATATCCTTAAGTACAGGCCTTCTTTTTGGTGAGTGAGAGCTCAGTTTTTCTTCCTGAAAAATTTGACCGTCGCTTTACAATTGTTAGACAAAGGAAGGTTACGCAATCGTGGCGACTTTGTTGGCGGAGAACTAATTTGCGTAACTAATGATTCAATTTTACAATGTGTGTATCCCTGATGGATGCTTTGTAAGTTTCTTAATAAATAAATCAATCATTTTTGTTTTAAACTGTCTGATATCATTTTTATATCAATCATTTTTGTTTTAAACAGCTGATATTATCACGATGGTATATAAATAAGTGAATGGAGCTTTTAAAACGGAAAACTGAACTCCAACAGAAAAAATCAAATCGAAATCTCTTACATGTAAGTCGCGGAGATCGGGTCTTCGGTTAATACTCGTTAAAAAGCTAAATTTAGTACCTGCTAAAAGTAGTAAGCTTTAGTAAACAAAACCTGGTTTATGGTAATTACACGATGCCTATTGTTTGCTTACAGGCGGGGCTTCGGACTTTGTTTTTCACAAATACACTAACTTACACGGTCAACTTTGTTACATAAAACCAATGGAAGGTTGTTGTTCGTTCAAGTCGCTTATCGGCGGAGTTTGTTGTTACAACACTAGAGATCGAAAGCGTGAAACGGAAATTGTTCCTTTACTTTCATGCACCAAGAATATCGCAAGTCATAAGTCGGCTTTCAAATTTACCGGTCCTGGAGATGAGATCGACCTTATTTTGTGCCGAGCGCACATACGTCGGCCCCTCTTTAGTTTAAGGTTTTAAACGGTAGTTGGGTCTGTTAACAGTGGTTAATAGTACCACTCCCTTTTGCAAGCCCCACCCATTGGCCACGGAAAGTAGCACCCCTGCCTCACATAAGCCACACATCCCCACCACTGTGTTTTGTAACATGGTGCAGCAAAAATGTATAAAAGTTTCTCTTTCATGCTATTTAGGGTATTCCTTGCAATTTTTAGTGGAGAGAAAAACACCCCTATCGAGCACGAAAGGTACAGAGCGCCAAAAAAACAAGAATAATAAATGTTTTTCACCAGAAAAAGATGGTACTATTACAAAAATGGTTACAGAATAAAATATTTTGTAGGTTCCAAGAGTTCAGTTCTGATAGTGCTTAATTATATGGAGTTTTGCCCTTCACCTACCCCCTAAAGTTCCTTTGTCACCGTTGGCTTTTTCTCGAAACGTGACCTTGGGCTGCCTGTGACAAGACAATTGAGTAAACAATATTTAACATAATAACATTATACACAAAAAAACACAGGGTTTTGGATCACGTATTTATTAAAAAAGAATATCCATACAACTACAATGGAAACAGACATAAGATTCACCTTTCTGATCGTGAAATTAATACCATTCGTACTGTTATCGTAGCCACGTTCCTTGCCATCAAGTGAATCCAATATGTCGTCTTTCTTCACAAGCAGTTTGCATCCACTATAGTTATGTTCTTCAGTCTCACGGTAGTAGTGTTGTCCAGTAGATTGCATAGAGTATATGCAGTTTGGTTTCAGATTTCAGATTTTGCTTTTTACAACAAGTGAACGTTTTTCAACTAAGACATTGGCATACTTAGCATACAAGGCATTCAAGGCTTTCATGGCTTCCAAGCGTTCACGAGTCAATCCGTTCCAAAATTACCGCTCAATAACATCTTTCAGTGTGGATTAGCCGCGATTAATACGACTTGTATATGCGTCTGTAAGTATTTTGCGCGTTGGCGCCATAATGCTTCAGGAGATCGCAATCCAAATACGTTGAAATACAAAATAAATGAGTTTTATAAGCAAAATCTCGTGATTCGTCATGTGACCCGGCCCTGTCTGTGCATGACAACGTCAATTATCATCAAGATAACATGCGTGATCAGCATGTGAACACCTCATTGGATCACAGTTAGTTGTCATGGTGTTGAGGGCCCAATGACCTCTGGGTACTATTGCGCAATTTTTCCATTTTGTGGCGGAGGAAAAAAAAAAACAAAAAACAAAAGCATTTTATGACTAGGCTATCACAGGTATCCCAGTAATTAGACTGTCAGATGTAATCTTTTAGTGCATTGTAAACTGAGCAATACTCGCAGTCAACTGAACCGTTGAATAAGATGCCACAGTGAAGAAAGATATCGAACGTTTGACAACAAGATGGTGTTCGACAGGGTTGGTGGTTTCATCGGACGTTATCATTTATACAGACCTAAAGACGACGAACAACAAGAGCATCACACTAAAATGGTCTCTGGATCGGTCTTCTGCGGTAAATGAGGTTAGAGCATTTGGAAATATGTTTCTATGTACATTTTTCGGCCTCATATTGGTTGAAACATTTTAAAATATGTGTGACTCGCGACTGGAATGTTGACCGCAAATTGTCAAATAACTGCATTTTAACGGATTTTGGAAAGCTTTTGTATCGCTCTCAATCATTTGCCCAAACAAATTTTTACAGTTATATTGAGAACATCTTTTCGAAATTCAACCACCAAAAGCTTAATCCATTTGAAGGTTTAGCACATTGTGAAAATTAATTTTATTCACGAAGTATTTTTACTGAAGAGAAATGCATGCTTTCGAAATTAAATTATTTTAAGTGCAAAGAAGAGCGCAATGTTTACAAAAATCATTTCGTGAGGTCTTAGGAGATCGAAAAAGAAGATTTGAGTGTTTAAAAGACGAGATAGTGATCAGTTTTTGCACGCGAAGCCCTCAAACTCGTGCAATAATTTGCTGCTAAAAATGACGATTTTAACGGAATTTCGTTATTTGTATTTTTTTCTGAAATAAAAAGGCATTTCGCCAAAAAAGGTATCCGGTGATTTTAGTTATAGCCTAGCCTATCTAACATTAAAATAAGAAAGAAATCGACTTTTCCACCCTTGCCGCGATATGTTTAATTTTACAGACAACCGCTCTTAAGGTTGATATCCTTTGCAGCTGTGGATAGAGGGTTTCAGATCGTAGATGTCGATAATGGCTTAAACTATTTTAAATAGTTCAAGTTATTATATGCGTAGCAAAGATTTTAATTTACCTCGATTTTTCAAACACTTCTACTTACGGCAAAAATACTTTTCTTTAGACCTGCACCTTGGGTCAGACTATACGACCAGGCAAACCAGACAAACAACCTTCAGGCCTCAAAAAACACCATAAGAAAACTAGACATCAGTAGTTATTTAGATCGTATAGTGAGTGTTGCTACCTTTATGGGAAAATGATTTATATTTTTGATTCAGATTATAGATTATAGATTTTAGATTGTAAATGTGAGATTAAATAATCTCTGTGCAGTCGATATAAAACTCTCAATTAATATTTCAATGTTTTATTGTCGGCTTAATTTTATGTTGGCTATATATTGTGCCCCCAAATAGCTCGTACCTAAATACATTTGACACTGAAGTAAATGTTTTTATTAATTTAAACGTCTGCCTAAATTTCTATTTGTTAAGAAAATGAACGGAAGGAGTACGAGGAACCAGAAAGCGGATGCAAACGAGCACCTTTAAGTGACCCGTGCTTAGGCTTTGTAAAAAACAAGGTAAGCCATGCTTGTTGTGGTCGCACACTCTTGGCGCATGTTTATAATTAGTGATAACTTTCAAATACAGCTGGGAGACTTTCTTTCCAAGAGTTCATTCATTTTGCGATGAAAAAATCAAGGAGGCGGTTAGAGAGTATCGATGGCAGAGAATGAAGATAAACGAAAAGTCCGTCAAGCGAGAGACCTTTACAAGGAAACAATAGAAACGTTACCTGCAGATTGTGTTTCTGCGATTGTTCCTTAAGATAGGGTTCTGAAACCACTTCCATTGATTCGCCGCGCGTCGCTGATTCAAAATATTTCAAGGTTCTAGCGGCTTTTGCCATCTTCAGTTTCTTCGCCAGTGTAGTCCCCAACCTAGGATGGCAGCAACCACCCGGGGAAGGATCTGATGGCCAAGAAAATCTTTCAGTTTCAAGAAAGCGCTTCGTTATTCCTCGAATGACAACGGCGTCAGTTTTTCGGTGTCAATCAAGGACTTAAGGTGTGTCCCTTCTTGTCGCAGGTGAAAGTACCCTGTCATTCGATTACTCACCAACCGGGAGGCGATCAGAAACCTTCCTTGGATTCACTCCCTTCCTCGCCAGAACTAAGATCGTAAAAACAGCAACACTATTGCCGAAGCCCGTGGACAGGATGGCTCAAACATTTTTCTGTTGACGCCTGGTCCTGGTACTGTTAAGAAGTGTGAAATCTGTGTGTTAAAAAGTGTTAAATGTTTCAATTTCTAGAACTTCATCTCAAAAGTGATCATTTATACCAATTTTTAACATGGCTTTGATAACCTGGTAAAGTTCCTTGGTCGGTCTTCTACCATGATAACATAATATACCATTAAACACTCTTTTTATTGTAAAAGATGAGCGAATAAATAGCAACAGAAATTTCATTAAATCAGACGATAGTATCTCTGACTTATTTCAGTTAGAGATTCGTGGGTTTGTCTATGTGTTAGGATGTCTCCTTAAAAGAGAATGGGATGTTCGAACAAATTTTCCAGCCTTTAAACTGATAAAGCGGATGTTTTGTGGCTACTTCAAGGCTGTGGTGATGTTAGATAACCCGATGTCATGAAAATGATCACGATCTGGCATTTTTACATTGTACTAAAGAAACAGACAGAAAAGTTCCATCATGTCGGAAGCTCGGAGCCATCAAAGAGTTTAATTCTGAAATAAAAGAAACCTGTACGTGCTCCCTGAGGTATTCAAAAGTTCATCCTTAGTCAGTTGAACTTTTTTCTTAGATAAAAATTCCATTTTGTTAACTCACATAGCTTCAAAAACAAGTTCGTATACGCTCTTGTCTTCTTTTTATTTTCTTTTTTATTATTTGCTTTCGAAAAGGTAAGCTATTGTAAAAATTTCCCAAAACTCCCGAAATCTCTACACATAGCTTCAAAAACAAGTTGAAAATTTTTACAAAACTCCCTAACTCTTTGGTCTGGAATTCGCCTCCTTCCTGACTTTGCTCCATCTGAAAAATTTTGTCTCCGAGCTCATTTCTATGACTGTTGAAAGCAAAAAGAAAGAATGTAACCCTTGCTGAGAAGGGAGATCATAAACTATGTAACAATTGTAATATTACATTCATGCTCTCGCCAAAGTCAACAGAGCGTTGATAGCGAAGAATGTTATAAGCTTCCTAAAATTTTTAATTTGCAAAGATGTTTTCTTACTTACAGTTGAAGTACCAACCATTATCAATATTCTTGGATCCACAAAAAATCTGAATTGAATGGAAATATCACCCCTGATCTCTTCGTTTCTGTAAGGAATTCACTAGCGGGTGGAGGTGTGATTTCTGTGACAACAGCTGAGGGTATTTTAGTCCATTTAAGAATATTGAAGGCATCTAATAATACTTTTCTTGGGATCAAGTTTTATCAATAAAAGAGAAAGCTCATCACTCAAACAAAATTAGAAAGAAACCAGACGTTAGTATCATGTTCAATGTACAGCTTTATTGCTACTTTCACCCTTAAAAAGGCTGATAAACACTCATTTATCAAATATATCAATTTTGATAAACAATCCCTAAATCTGAACCTTTTTCTTCGATTTTTGAGCAAATACTATCACTACACCAATGCATAAGCAGCTGAGACTCTTGGTCATTACGCTTTTCGTTTTGTGTCGCTATTTCTACACCCACTTGTACAAAGCGCTGTTTATGTTGTACTTCTGATTTTTGTAGTTTGCCACTGCCAGATAAATATGTCCTTTGTACTCAAATGATGTCATATCATGAGCTCCATGGGTGGAAATCTCTTGATACTTGATGAACTGTGCTCCAGAGACCTGGTACACAACTAACTGAGTGTTATGTTTCACGCTGCTGTCGTAGTGATTGGCCATACCCAAGTAGGAATGACCGCTGATCACGAATGGACACCAAGCAGCGGCTCCACGAGTAGGAATGGATTGGAAAAGAACAAACTTGGTACCATCCCATTTATAAATAAACGAGTCAGTGTTGTGGGAACTTCCAGAGTAGTAGCAGGCAAAAGCGAGGAATGTGTGACCATTGATATTGACAGACTTCACGTCAATTGCCCCATAAGTTTGAAGAGACTGTAGTTTGACAAAGTGTCCTCCTGACCATTTGAAGACAGTGGACTGAACAGAATGCTTCTGTTGAGAATTGTAATAGTTGGCGAAAGCGATGAAAGTGACATTGTTTATTTCAAATGTCGTACAACCAAAGACACCTTCAGTTGCTATCTCCTGGAATTTGTTGAACTTGACGCCATTCCATTTGTAGATGACTGATTTTGTTGAGTGGGTACTTCCATCATGATGATTTGCCACTGTGAGATATTTTTCTCTACTTAAAGTGAAGAACTTGAAGCGTGCAGCTCCTTTTGTTGGTAATTTCTGAAACACCACAAACCGCCGTCCGTTCCATTGGAAGACGACAGAGTCAAGTTGGTGCGTACCATCCCAATGATAAGCCACGGCGATAGATCACATGACATGACATGTGAACTTGCACAATGCAATGAGTCGAACTCATTGCATTGTGCAAGTTGTTATTTTTCTGTAAGTTTTCACGATGCGCCGATCACACCTTATGAAAAATTTTTGCGAAGAAAAGCTTTGTTTTTCCATGTGCCATTCTGAAATCAGTAATGACCAATTCCTACCAGGTCCTACCAGGGGTTTCTGGTCCTACCATTATCGCAGTTTTTTTTCCAGGTCCTAGTTTAACTGAATGATTCAGTGAACTAACTTTGGAACTAGGACTACAATTCTTTCCCTTAATGTATTAGCAACATACTTCATTGTATTCATTGACAGTGTCAAAGTCAGATAAATCTCCAATACGGGGAAATTTAGAAGCAAGAGAACTCTTGCAGTTCAAAATAATGAGATGTTCCCCTTTGCAAAAATCAAACTCTATAACTGAATCTTCATGGCTGGGATACCTACAGTAATCAAGATTTAAACATTCCAACCAAATATTTGGTAACAGTTGAAGTGTCAATCAGATCAAAGCCAAAGAAAAATTAGGCAGAAAAACAATTAATTTTTTGCATTTGACAGTAAAAAGATTATTATATCCTTAAATTAAATATGCCAAATATAAATTTTACCAACCTTGAAGCTAGCATTTACATTCACACCGTGTATGCCTGGTTCACCTTTTGCTCCCTGGATAATTAAAAATGAATCGAAATAATCTCTCGATAACCATGACAACAGTTTGATTGATGTACTTATGAGTACACCACTAACAAGAAGAGGTACGTCATAAACAGTTCAACACATTTGTATTCTCAAGTCCGTTTCAAAGTCTTTTTTTTTTTTTTAATTATCGGTTTAAAAATACATAACCTTTGCTCCAACCGTTCCATCGCGTCCATCTCGTCCTATGTTGAAAATATTGGCGATCAGTTCAAATTGTGAAAACACAGATAAACGAAAACAGCAGCAAAAGTCACGCCTTAGACAATCACATCTTCGACATAATACTTCTTCTGTTTCAACTTTGTAAATAGTTTCACATGTTACACCTTCGTTTCCCAAGGTATCTATTATTGACAGTAATTTTCAGCCATTCAACCTCGTTGTAATATTAAATTGACACAAGTAATCATCACGTTACTAGGTTTTCGTTTCTTTTCCTCCCTAAATTCTCATGAGGGACCAATCAGTAAGTCAGCCAGAGGATTTTGGTGGTGTCACGATAAAATTTACCTGATCCTCCCCCAAGGTTCTGTAATAGTCTCATGAGTCCCCACCCCTACCCCCATTGGAAGCTGATTGGCAGTTATTTTGCTCTAGTCCTCCCTTACCAGTCTGTTGGCGATGAATGATCGCCTATCTGTACCCCTTTAAAACCATGTGATCCCCCTATAGTCCTTCCCCCCAGAAAATTAATAACAACTCGTCCCTTCCACTTTTGTTTGTGAAGGAATTCATGTTGAAAATACTCCCCTTCTAAATAAAAAATTCACTTTGAATGAATAACTACATCACCGTTTATTCCATCGCGTCCATCTCTTCCTGCATAAAAAGCAAATCGATTTTCTTTTGTTAGGTAGGAAAACAAACAGTTTATTTTTATGGTGAAAAGCTATTTATTTTAAGTCAATAAATCTATGAATGAACCATAAAGTAACACTCACCATTTTGTCCATCTTTTCCGTCTTTTCCTGTCCAGAAATTAACAGAAACCAAACATCAGTCAAGAAACTCGAATTTCTTTCTTTCTTGCCCGTATGAGCAGATGTAAATAAATATATGCGTGTTACGGCTACTGAAGTATTTTTATTATTATTAATACTAGGTAATCATCAATGTACTGAAAAAGATGAGATTTTTGTTTTAATTTTTACCCACCATCTTTACAATATCCAGCTTGCGAAGCACAGAAGTTTGATTTTCTCGCTGTTCCATGACTCTGTTGAAAGTTTATAAGTAAAAACGAAAAGTGTTCACATAAGTTATGAAATCAAGGGGCTGTTTGGGAAAATACACGCTCGATCAAAACACAAAAATTCTCACTTTCACCCGAATTCCAATTCGACTACAGTTACTTTAAGCTTAGTTATCAATTTGGTTACCTGATTAGCAGATTTGTTCTGTGATTTTGCAACGGAACTCAACAAAAAGGCAAGAGCCAACACAAAGAATAATCGAAACATTTTCACTCTCAGCGCCCTCCGATATGAACTGGCAGACGAATCAGTCAACATACAGGGAACAACTTTCCAACTCTGTTTATTTTATCCCATAACAGGAAAATTCTGGATGTCAAGGGCTTGTGTTATGAATAGTGTTTTACAATTCACAATGAGAATTTGTAGTCTATGGATTATGATATGCTAACTGACTGACTACAATGGGCTTCTTATGTCTCCTTAAAACATAATTATCTTGAGCAGTGATCTGGTATGGAGAATTTAGACCCTTATCAGTGAAGATGAGTTATTTGGTCTTAACGTTAATTCTCACAAATAACTGTAGGTAAAAAATAAATATTTTGATTTGTGGAAGGAAAGGTGTCCATAGCAAGAACTCAGCTCGCTTTACATCATTTTAAGAAATTTTTCAAAAATGATGGTTGATATGAATACTGAGAGTTGAAAGAAAATTCTCGTTTGCTTTTGCTAAGTAAGAAACACGCAAATCAACCAATCAATCAATCAATGTAAAATACGTTTGAATAAAAATAGAATAAAATAAAGAGAGCAAGTTGCCGTGTATTTAGAATATAAGTGTGCACCTTTTTGTTAAAAACCATTCTCGTACAGCTTTATGTCTTTGTAACGTCGCCATTTACTGCAAGCAAGTTTGAAAGGAAAAAAAAGCGATTGACGGCAAATGTAGATGAGGACACTGTGCTGCAATTATTCAAAATCGACTGACGAGACTTAATTTACCTAATTATCACTTAACTAGCAAAATATCATCAGTCGCATAATTCCAAAGTTTCCTTTAAATAAAAATATTTTCCCAATAGAGCATCACTTGAATCTTTCGGTTCTCGAATCAAGCAGTATTTATGGGACAAACCAAACAATAACCTTGCTCATATTGAATGCTATATACGTATTATCCTGTGTTTTTCCCGTGTAGTGCTATGCTGACGTGTCCAGATGATCAGAAATAAAATTTGCATATTTCTTGTCAACTGTCCGTTCACTCGGTTTACTAAAACCGTCCAAACTGAATCGTCAGAGTAAAGGCTCGTGAGTTTTAGAGCTGGGACTATGATTTATTGTAACAAAAAATAATTGATTGACAAGGTTTCCAAAGGCAGAAGGGAATGATCAAGGTCCTTTGTTTACCTTAGCTATTCACTGCTACAGAACAAAAAAAAAATTGGGAATAATTAAATACTGTGATATCTGAAAAGGATAAGTTAGTTTCAGGTCTAAGTATCTAAATGACATAAATTTGAGTCCTCATGCCCATAATAAATGAAAGTGCTATTTTCATTTTGCTTTGGTGAACCTAAAGGGCTCTTCGCCACACTTCACAGAATTTCCATACAACAGACAGGTTGTTTACCGAAGGGATTATTCGACAAGATTGTAGTAAGATTTCAAATAAAGAAGAACGTAAAAAGCACTTGTAACATAACAGCCTTTGCTTCACCTCAAGAACCATGCTTTACATTGAACATGAAATGAAAACGCTGAATACATAAAGCCGTCTCCTCAGGATTAACGAATAACGAAAACAACTGCGTTCTTTGGTAAATACAAGATAGTTCCATGATTAACCGAGTTATATAGAAAACGATATTGAGGTCAACTTTACTTACATGATGGTCTCTTTTTTTACTCTGAGTCTCGATAAAACTATAACTTCATTTTCTAATGTTTAGGAATTCTTAGACTTGCACTCGGCATTTCATGGAATCGTTTAAGTTTCACAATCTATGGAAGGATTGATGAGAAAGGACATCGAAACATGATGTCAATTTGTTTAGTTTTTCGAGAGTTGGATGAAAATTTTAAGAATTTGTTTACGCGTTAGGCGTCCTGAAACACCTTGTTCTCGTGTTGCGCTATGCTGATGTGTCCATATGATCATCAATAAAAATTGCTTATTGTGTATCAACTGTCCGTTCACTTGGTTTACTGAATTGACTGATATTAGGCTCGAAAAAATTAGTGCTGAAATAGTTATTTACTGAAACACAAAACCATCAGTAGAAAAACTGACGAAGAGAATAAGGTCCAGAAGGTTATCTTGCCACAGAACTGGGTGATATTTGGAGGGGGAGATGTTGGCGTTTAATCAAAATGTCAACATTTCACAGATTTGGTTCTTCAGGACCATAATAAAATCGTCATTTTCGCTAGGTTCTAGCAAAAAAGAGGACGTTTCGCAAGATTTTCAAATAATTGCTCAGTTTGCTCGAATAACTATTCCCTTGTTAACTGCCCGATACTTTTTACCCATTAACCGCTTCAACACTGTAACTATTTTTAAATAAGCTGGCAAAAATCTCCAGTTAAGAAACCTTTTTTGTTATCATTTTAAGAGATGCACTTCCCTGATCTTAAGTGTGGTAGACTATTTTGAGAGTAAACTAGTCTTTGATCAGGCTAATACACTGTGATCAAACACAATTGTGAACATGAAATCAACATGCAAATTTAGGTTTTACAGAGAAAATACTTTTTTATTATTTGTTCTTTTTTATGATTTCGTCACAGAAAAGATATTCGAGCTGATTTCACTATATCCTCAAGTGCAGGTCTTCTTTTTGGAGAGTGAGAGCTCAGTTTTTCTTCCTGAAAAGTTTGAACGTCGCTTTACATGTATTAGACAAAGGACGGTTACACAATCGTGGCAACTTTGTCGGCGGAGAGCTGATTTCTGAAACAAATGATTCAATTTTACATTGTGTGTATCCCTGATGAATGCTTTGAATAGCACAAGTAAACATTGTCTGGTTTACTTAATATTCTAGATAGACCAGTGATGGATATTCAAAAGACTGA